CCATGGGCGGCATCGACTTGCACGTCCTCCTCGCTGTCGTCGGAGAATCGCGAACGACGAGGCTGTCCTCGTATTCGGCCGCGGTTTCCACTTCCGGTGGCGACGGCAGCGTCGACGGCGACCAGAACGGCACGTAATGCGGGGAGCCGGGGGCGGGCGCGCCGCCCCCGGGGGCGGACGGGGGGCGGCGGTGGCCCGACCACCAGGTCCAGGCGGCGGTGGCGGCAAGCGGCGGCGGACCGGACGCGGATCGGAACAGCCCGGTCTTCGCCGAGACAAGCGCGGGGGGCGGGCGGACCGGCGGGAGCGGGGGTGGCGCGAGCTTCGTCGCCCCCGGGGGCGGCGTGGGCGTCACGGACAACAGGTTGGCGAGGTGCGCCATGGCGCGGGGCGGGCCGCGGACTGAGGCCTCGCGGGTGAGTCGCCGCCGCGGCACCCGCAGGTGCGAACATTGCGCTCGGTAGGTTGTGGCATGTTCGCACCTCCACAACCCCTGCACTGCCAACAGAAGCCTTCGCTCCCCTCGAAGGCCGCCGCTGTACAGCCCACAGCTCACCGCCCACCCGCAAAGCGCGGGATCCGCGGGATAGAATCCCGTCCCTGCCGCGCTCCAGGAAATGGCTGCAGGACTCTCAGGCCCGCCCGCCCTCCCGCCCTGCCTTTTGTGTCGATCACGTTCCGTCTCTGCAGCTTTTCCCTTTCATTTCAGCCCCCGCTCCGCTCCGCCGTCCTTTTGCTGCTCTCTGCTTTCCGCCCTGCTCCGCGCCGCCGGCCGCACCGCGGTCAGAATTAGGCCACATTACTCGCGGCACGAGACGAGAGCGCCGGCGGAATCAGCCTCTTCACTTACTTCACTGCGGTGGCGCGGCAGGGCGGGGCAGCGGGGCGGCGGTCCGACTATTCGCGTAGGCGAGGGGGGGGGGGGCTTAAACTGGCCTTAAGTGCGCCAGGCCAGACCTAGAGGCCCTATCAAGGAGGCGGGGGCAGTCGTGTGTCCAGTCCAGGCAGCTATGGCCCTTTATTACATTTATTAATTTGACGACCGCCGTTTAAAACTGCAATGCGGACGGCGCGGGGTTGACTCACGTATACATAGAGTACATGCGTCTGTGACGTGTGGTCTCGCGCGGTGTGCCCACGCCTCATCATGCCCCGGGTACTGACCGTAACAAGTGTGAGGCAACGCCGGGGGGGGGGGGGGGGCTTGTTTGCACAGGGGGTCCGTGCTCCTCGGAGTACGGGCACTGTAGTGCACCTTCCTTATCGAGTCAAAGGAAACTTGGATCAACGTTAGAGGATGGATAGAGACGATAAGGGGTTTTGTTTGTCGTCTCGCTATGGCCCCGTGCGAATAGGCAACCCGTCGGCACCCGTGCATGCGGGCTAGTATACGCACGGGGCACAGCCACCACCCTTCTTTTCCCCCAAGAACGCCGGTGCTTTTGCCGAGGCCGGAGGGGGCGCCAATCGAGGAGGACGTTCACACTCACAATCACTGCCGTGCGTTTCTATAGAGCGCGCGCGCTTCTCGTGGGATTGCAATCAAAATGACAATCTTTACAACCCGCACAAGGATGACACGCGCAAACCGCCCCGGAGCGGCGGGCTTCCCCGGCCATACGCGCGTGTGAATATAGACACAATCCTTGTCCGGTTTGCGACTCAAAATAAACATCTGCAGAATCGTTTTTATGTTCCCTTCCCAGGATCGCCCGCGACCGCTGCCCGCGCCCTCTGGTTTTAACTGATCGCCGTGTTCGCTCAGGGGGACTCTTTTGAATTTGTGGGCGCTTCCTTTCCTTCCCATGGCGCTGGGGCCCTCTGGGGCGCCGCCGTTTGCGCCGGCCGTCGTACAGGTTCGGGGGGACCTTGTTCGCGTGGGAACGCCGTCGGTCTCAGGCCGCGTGCGTCCGCGACCGGGCGACGTCTTTGCGGTCGCCGTCCGAAGCGGGCTGTCATGTATTAAATTCCACGCCGTGTCAGACAAGGTCGAATAAAAACGGAAAAGACGTTCCTCGTTCCTTGTAAGGCTGTGGTGTTTGCAAAAGCTTAGCCTATCGTCCGCGCGCATAGTGTTGTAACCAGGATGCTGACTGACCCCGCGCACTACCGCCTACCGCATGACTTACGTGCGGGCGGGTTGCCTACTCGCCCGGCCCGTAAGGCGCCGTGGCTAGGGGCGATAGGCAACCCCGCCCGCATTCCTGCCTGCGGAACAGTATAACGCGGGGTTGATCAGATCAGCCGCCTGGTATAGCGACACGGGAAGGCACCCATGAGGCTTTGTTTTGCTTGCAAAGGCGCGGGGCTGCAAGCGGGCAAGCTCATGGCTCTCCCTCCGTCGCGGCGCCAGGCCCGGCGACGACGTCCACCAATTGCCACCGGCCCACTACTGGCATGCCAGCCGGTCGGCTGCCCAGAGGCCTGCCCTGCGCGGGGTCGTCCTGCTCATTGGCACGGCCTTGTTCCTGTGTCCTGCCTCGGCGCCTCTTCTCAAACTGGCCAGCAACGTGGACGTGCGGTGGCGCGTAGGGTGGCACAATGCGTCATGCGGCACCGAAAATTGCGCGTGAAAGCAATTTAAAAGTCGCAGGTCCTTATTCCTGACTGACTCTCACGCTTGGAACCGACAAACTATAATCGTCAAATAGGGAAACGCAGACTGAAAAGAAAGGAGAGTTATCCTCCAAAATTCAGAATGAGAAAAATTAATCAGATTTCTGGAGTGTTGTGTGTCGTGAAAGGTCAGCGCTCCGGCCGGCCGGCCAGCGGTCAACGGTTTTGTCAATGCCTTGTTGGTCGGACTGGGCGCGGCCGGCCGGCGGGGCGGGCGGTCGAGTCGAAGCAGCACGCAAAGGGAAGGGGGAGGGGGAAGGGGGATGGACCAGGTAGGCAGGATTATTATTGTGGGCTCCCCTACCTACCCTCCCCCTCCCCCTCCAACTCCCCCGCACACCTGTCTCCCTCGCCGCCTCTCCCTCCCCCCAGCTCATCCTCCGTGACTGTCCGTGGCTGGGGATGGCTAGTGGGCCGAGCTTTGCAGGTTTCCTTCCTCCGTTGGGCTGGGCTGGGCCGCAGACAACAACAACTCGTTGTGCTCGGAATGCTTATGACCGCCCCCTTCCCCCGAGCCGAGGGACTGTCCCGAAAACACTTTTTTTCCATCGTGCCTTGGGTGCCGCATGTGTCTCTAACAGGGGGCCGTGTGTCGACACGACGTCGCACTATATGGGACTCGTGTTGACACTCCCTACCGGCGTCCCTGCAGCGGCGCCCAGGAGCGGGGCCGTCCGAAGAGAAAGGCAAAAACGCGGAGACGGACAGTGGGGACGAGAGGGGAGGGGGAGAGAGAGAAAGAGACAGACAGGGGTGACAGCGGTCGGCGCCGTACTCTCCGCTCCGCTCGGGCCCGGACCCTGGGCTCTGGCTTATTTCACTCGCCTCAATTTCCCTCAGCACGGTCGGGACTCCGGGACTGTTCCGGGAAGACCCGACCAAAACAGCACGGCGCTGGCTCCATCATCCATTCTCGGGTCGAGGCGATGGGGCGGGGCGCCTCTTTGACGGGGAGGTGCTGGTGCCCCGTGTGGCCCGAGCATGTGGCCTCCAGCCAGCTCCAGCCTCCAGGTCTCCAGCTGAATGGCGGAGGGGACGCCCTCTCTGGCCTAGTCGCCCCAACACACACCTTCGCCCTTTGCCTTTCTTTCTTGCCGGTGGTGCATGAGAGTGATTTTAGCGCCCCAGCCCTTCTTTCTCTCTCGCTCTCTCTGTCGCATGCAGGTGCGGTGCAGGTGTCTGAGACTGTCCCGTCAGGCGCCGCGGTGCCACTACTCCTCGGCCAGCAGGGCGCCACCTTTTGGGAGTGTCGCTGTCCTCTGCTTAGCACTCTTACAAGCTGTCCGATACATTCTGCTTTTAAGGTGCATTCTCGACGGCGGGCGCCTCTGGGGTCGGTGGGGCGCCACCAGCCCCCCCCCCTCCCCCCCTTCTCCCTCTCTCATCAAATGCCGCTCACGGCACCGCCGCGCGGCGCCAACGAATGCAAATCAGGTGCAAAGCAAGTCATACACGGCCGTGTACCGCTTGAGCAGCGTCCCGGCCAGCTGGCCGCCGCGCAAACCACGTTCAAGATCTGGAGCTCCGCCGCCTGGAACTGGGAAGCTCGCGCCGCCCCGCGACCCGCTCCGGTATGCAGAACTCACAACTGTTCTGCGGCCGCCGGCCCGGCTGCATTCCTCTCGTCCTTGATGCCTGACGGCGCGCTGGTCGCTGGCCTTGCTCCAGGACGGCCTCTGCCTGCGCCGCTGTGCCGCCGGGTCGACCTCGAGGTCGTGCAGAACGGTGCGCCCGCGAGCACGAGCCTCTTGTCCCCGCGCCAGGACAGGTTGCATTCGTGCGGCACACCACATGCAGGACGCCGTCAGCGTCGTGCCGATGCAGGACACGGTTCCGGTGGCCTTGTTCCGTGCACGTTGCACGCCGGACTCTACCCCACCGGACCCCGCGCCCGCGGTGCAGTACCGCGAGTGACCCACTATACTTTGGTCAGGTCGACTGGATCGATGACACCACACCACTGACCCAACCAACGCCGAGTCGCGGGGCCGGGGCAAGGACGAACAGGGGGCGGACCCAGGCAGGACCACGGGGGCGGGCTTCCCTGGGCCGACCCCGTCCTCGGCCGAGCCTCTGTCGAAGTTGTCACAACCTTCTGACACTCGCACGAGCCCATCGACGCACATACTCACCGTTTTCAACCGGCCTGCCGTTGGCGTCCTGAAGCACTGTATCCTGGCTGGCGAGCAGCTCGCGGACGTCGGTCCGGGCCTTGCGCCCGAAAAGCACCATATCGCCGCGCTCGGCGCGTCGCGCTCGCGGCACCAGCGTCCACTACGTGCGCGACGTAACCGACCGGGGCCGCGGGGCCGGAGCCGGCGGGACGGGTGAGGACGAAACGGGCCGGAGAGTGGCAGGAGGACTGGACGGGGCAGGAGCGGGACTGGTTGACTGGGAGAGAGGGAGCAAGCGAGTGAGGAGCGGAGTGAGTGAGGCGGGCCGGACTACGCCTGCCTGCCTGGCTGCCCGCCCGCCGCCGCCGCCGCGCAGACGGGGCTGGCAGCCAGCCACTCGGGGCCCACCGTGCTCTGGCTGGAGCTGAAGCCCTG